CCCCCCCCACCGTTATCCCCATCAGCAATGGGAGGACGAGCGGCTCAAGTGGGACGAGACTGAGTACGGGGGCATCGACATCATCCGCGTGCCTTCCAAGATGGTGTGGCTGCCCGACATCGTGTTGGAGAACAAGTAGGCAGGGGGGGGGGACACGGATGTCCATACACCTCACTCCATCTCTTCACCACCCCCCCTCCCCCCCCTCCACAATCTGCCCCACATCTTGAAACGATACCTGCCATGGGGACAGATTTCGGGCGGGCGGACGGGAGTTATAATTATACTCGTAGTTCTTTCGGTAAAGTCATGTAGGTAAAAAATAAAATTAATAAAAAATTAAATAATAAAATCACGACGTTTCGGAGGCAACACAAGTCTCCGTCATCAGGTGGGATCGTCACAGCCAGATTTGCTGCATCAAGTGAGGCACGGATTCAAGATGCAAGCTCTTAAATACATTCTAGATTTGAAGCTTTCGTGACTGCAAGGATTCATATTCTTAGGTTTTTTCGGTAAAGTCACGTCGGTAAAATTTTTTAATTAATAAAAATAAAAATCACGACGTTTCGGAGGCAACACAAGCTTCCGTCTTCAGGTGGAACCGTCACAGCACGATAGCTACAATCATCATCACCACCGCCATCGTTACTATTTGTTATCCATGACCGCGGCATCTACGTTTGGCCGCGCGTGGCTGTGCGCGCGTGCGTGCAGCGTCGACGGCCAGTTCGAGATCACCCTCTTCGTCAACGTGCTCATCTACCCCTGGGGCCTCGTGTACTGGCTGCCTCCGGCCATCTACCGCAGCCCCTGCTCCATCGTGGTCACCTACTTCCCCTTCGATTGGCAGAACTGCTCGCTCATATTCAGGTGACGCCGACGACGGAACGATGCGGTGGGCTCCCCTTGCCCGCAAACGAGTTTGGGTTCCAGAAGTCTGTTTCGTGAGTCGATTTGTTTCGTAAAGTCCAACTTTTACCCCCTGTCGATTTCCAAATGCATTGTAACGGCGTGGACGCTAAACACAGGGGAATGGCTTTTAAAGCTGTATGATCTCATGTAGATGTAGATGCCACTGGGTCTTCACGTTCTGCAGATGTAGATGCCACTGGGTCTTCACGTTCTGCAAATGTAGATGCCACTGGTTCTTCACGTTCTGCAGATGTAGATGACACTGGATCTTCACATTCTGCAGATGTAGATGCCACTGGTTCTTCACGTTCTGCAGATGTAGATGCCACTGGGTCTTCACGTTCTGCAGATGTAAACGCCACTGGGTCTTCACGTTCTGCAGATGTAGATGCCACTGGGTCTTCACGTTCTGCAGATGTAGATGCCACTGGGTCTTCACGTTCTGCAGATGTAGATGCCACTGGTTCTTCACGTTCTGCAGATGTAGATGCCACTGGGTCTTCACGTTCTGCAGATGTAGATGACACTGGATCTTCACATTCTGCAGATGTAGATGCCACTGGTTCTTCACGTTCTGCAGATGTAGATGCCACTGGGTCTTCACGTTCTGCAGATGTAAACGCCACTGGGTCTTCACGTTCTGCAGATGTAGATGCCACTGGGTCTTCACGTTCTGCAGATGTAGATGCCACTGGGTCTTCACGTTCTGCAGATGTAGATGCCACTGGGTCTTCACGTTCTGCAGATGTAGATGCCACTGTGTCTTCACGTTCTGCAGATGTAGATGCCACTGGTTCTTCACGTTCTGCAGATGTAGATGACACTGGGTCTTCACGTTCTGCAGATGTAGATACCACTAGGTCTTCACATTCTGTAGATGTAGATGCCACTGTTTCTTCACGTTTTGCAGATGTAGATGCCACTGGGTCTTCACGTTCTGCAGATGTAGATGCCACTGGTTCTTCACGTTCTGCAAATGTAGATGCCACCACCGCCATCTATTGCGCGATGGTTGAATTTACGACTCTCGGTCCGAACAGGCAACTGGACATACGGACCAGGTTTGTTCGTATGTCTGAATGTTCGTAAGTCGAATATTTGTAAGTCGAGGAGTACCTTTATTACCTCGTTTTCTGTGTTTAGTTTAATCATCATTCCACCCCCCCCCCGGCGCCCACTACTGTGATTAGCACGATTGGCTGGATATGGTTAGTGCGAAAGAAGTTCAACATACATACTGGACATCGACTCAGAGACCCACGTACTTACACAGAGACCCATAGACTCACACAGAGATCCATAGACTTACACAGAGACCCATAGACTCACGCAGAGATGCATAGACTCACACAGAGACCCATAGACTCATACAGAGACCCATAGACTCACACAGAGACCAATACACTTAGACAGAGCTCCATAGACTCACACAAAGACCCATAGACTCACACAGAGACTCATAGACTCACACAGAGACCCATAGACTCACACAGAGATCCATAGACTCACACAGAGACCCATAGACTCACACAGAGACCCGTAAACTCACACAGAGACCCATAGACTCACACAGAGACCCATAGACTCACACAGAAGCCCATAGACTCACGCAGAGATCCATAGACTCACACAGAGACCCATAGACTCACACAGAGACCCATAGACTCACACAGAGACCCGTAGACTCACACAGAGACCCGTAAACTCACACAGAGACCCATAGACTCACACAGAGACCCATAGACTCATAGAGAGACTCATAGACTCACACAGAGACCCATAGACTCACACAGAAGCCCATAGACTCACAAAGAGATCCATAGACTCACACAAAGACCCAGAGACTCACACAGAGACCCATAGACTCACGCAGAGATCCATAGACTCACACAAAGACCCAGAGACTCACACAGAAGCCCATAGACTCACACAGAGATCCATAGACTCACACAAAGACCCATAGACTCACACAGAGATCCATAGACTCACACAAAGACCCAGAGACTCACACAGATACCCATAGACTCACACAGAGACCCAGATACTCACACAGAGACACATAGACTCACAAAGAGATCCATAGACCCTGATTAGTCGCCTGTCTCACTGGACCCTAATTAGTCTCCTGACTGACTAGATCAGTCCTCCTGATGGACTGGACCCTGATCAGTCTCACCCGACTGTCTGGACCCTGATCAGTCCGCCCTCATCGTCGCTCCTGTGAGCAGGTCCCAGACGTTCAGCTCCAAGGAGATCAACTTGGTGCTCACGCTGGAGGACAACGCCACCGTGGAGTGGATCCACATCGACCCGGAGGCCTTCACAGGTCCCACGCCGCCACCAGCTTCGTGCAAGCGCTTACCCCTCTCTGCGGCCTGCCGCATTGCAGATCAACCTCACACCACGCGAAAACACCGCGTTACTAGCGCCCTATTGCACGCAGTGCCAAACGAAGCCTTACTAACTGATCCCTCACTAACGCATCCCTTATTAACGCATATCTTACTAATGCACGCCTTACTAACCCATCCCTGACTAACGCATCCCTTACTAACCCATCCCTGACTAATGCATCCCTTATTAATGCATCTCTTACTAATGCAACACTTACTAACCCATCCCTCACTAACGCATCCCTCACTAACGCATCTCTTATTAACCCATCCCTTACTAACGCATCTCTAACTAATCCAACCCTTACTAACCCATCCCTCACTAACGCACCATTTACTAACGCGCCCCTTACTAACGCCTATACTAATATATACGTGAAACAAACGCCTGGCTAAAAATGCCTTAATGAAAAAAAAGACACCTTACTAACGGACGCCCGACTAACGAATGGCTTGCGCGTCGAACTTCCTTCGCACCACCGTAACGTAGCCGCACGTGCTCATCGGAGATGCCTAACTCGTATTGAATTTATCTGTGCACAGTGGCCTTACTAACCTGGGTGCGGGGGGGGGGTAGTGGGCACGGGGTCGGGGTAGAGAGAGGAAGGGGAGATGGAGCGAGGGGGGGGGGGGGTAGCGGTGAGTCTGGCGACCCGAGTTCGATTCCCGCTCAAGGCCAACACGGGTGACAATTATCTTAATCGGTCCTGGGCCTCCCCTAGATCGGCTCAACCTGAAAAATTAGTGCCTGGCACGGTGGGTAAACATCGGTACTCGGGAGATAAAGGCGGCCGGGCGTGGTGCTGGCCACCCACCCCTCGCATTCCATGCCGACCTTCATAGCTGTTATACTCTTAAAAATGAAATAAAAATTAATAAATTTAAAACATTGTTTTATTTTTATAAATTTAATTTCATTTTTTACCTACGTGACTTTACCGAAAGAACTAAGAGTATGAATCTTTGCAGTCACGAAAGCTTCAAATCTAGAATTCATAGCTGCTACTCGCTAACACCACTTGCCCCAACATCCTGCAAACATGATGCCTTGTATAAAGGTGTCAGATTTTGTACCAGTTAAAAGGGTAAAAACCTACTACTATATTTTGCCACTGGTAAAGGTGATGTCTCATAGTGTAAATGCTTACCCCAAGCTCTCAATACTCTGATAGTGCGCTGTCTTTGAGTTGTACGCCTTTTGGCGTCATCTTGTCCAACACCAATGGAGACTAGGCTCTAAGAAAAGCTGTCTCGGGTGTGGACCAATCAACTTCAAGGACAGTGCATATCATTATCATCATCAGAGTTGTTTCTTTTTGTTTGCATTTTGACTTCTTGTGTTGAGCTTATTGCAAACATGATGCCTTGTATAAAGGTGTCAGATTTTGTACCAGTTAAAAGGGTAAAAACCTATTACAATATTTTGCCACTGGTAAAGGAGGTCTCATAGTGTATCCTGCCAAGGCTATACTTTGTATTTGAAGGAGGGGAAGAGTCGTGGTTGTGATGGTGGGGGGGGTCTTGCTCAGGGATGACGTCACCCCCCACCCTACCCCCCCACCCGCCACAGAGAACGGGGAGTGGTCAATCCGCCACCGCCCGGCGAAGAAGATCACCAACGAGCGGTTCCAGCCGGAGGACCTCGAGTATCAGCAGGTCACCTACTTCCTCATCATCAAGAGGAAGCCTCTCTTCTACGTCATCAACATCATCCTGCCCTGCGTGCTCACCTCCTGCCTGGCCATCCTCGTCTATTTCCTACCTGGCAAAGGTGCGCGCGCCCCCGCTGTACACGTGTGTGCGTGTACCACGTGTGCGCGTGCGTGTCTGTGTGCGCGTGCGTGGGGAGCGGTGGTGCAGCGGTTAGCGCACTGCGGTGCGAACCCGACGGCCCGAGTCCGATTCCCGCTCACGGCCACTAACGCCGGTGACAATTATCTGAACTGGTCCTGGGCCTCCCCTAGGTCGGCTCAGCCTCAAATGAGTACCTGGTGCGGTGTGTAAACATCGCCACTGGGGGGACCAAGGTAGCCAGGCGTGGGTTGGCCACCCACCCCCTAGTGCGCCGTGCCGGCCTTCATAGGTGCTCGCTAGCAGCACTTGCCCCAACAGTCTGGTAAGGCTATACGGGGGATATTTGTCTTTGTGTGTGAGTGTGCATGTGTGAACCGGTCCTGGACCTCCCCTCGGTCGACTCAGCCTCAAATTAGTAGCTGTTTGATGTGGTGTGTAAACATTGCCACTGGTGCCATTGGGGAGACAAAGGCGGCCGGGCGTGGTGCTGACCACCCACTCCCTCGTGTGTCACCGTGTCGGCCTTCATAGGCGCTGCTCGCTAACAGCACTTGCCCCGACAGTCTGTTAAGGCTACACGGGGGGTCTTTCTCTTTGTCTTTTTCTCCTCCAGCCGGTGGACAGAAGATCACTTTGTCCATTATGGTGCTGCTGGGGCAGACTGTGTTCCTCATCCTGATCTCCAAGAAAGTGCCCGAGACATCTCAAGATGTCCCGCTCATCGCTAAGTACGGATACTCCCGTTCCACCAAAGATATCACAATCAGAATATTTATTTTCTCTTGTTACGTCACTCACAAATGGGTGCACTTTGTAAATCGAGTCCTCTTGTGACGTCACTCACAAATGGGTGCACCTTGTTTATTGCCGCTCCCCACCCCCCGCTCCTTCCCCCCATCAAGGTACCTCATGTTCAAGATGATCGTGGTGGTCGTCATCGTGGCCAACTGCGTCGTGGTCCTCAACGTGTCCCTGCGGACCCCAAACACGCACAGCATGAGCCAGCGCACCCGAGAGGTGGGCTCCGTACGCTCGCTCGCACGCGACAGCCGCGACGAGTCTCAAGGCTCGCTGCTCAGGAGGATCCTGCCAAATTTTTGGGGAGATGGGGGGAGGGGTGGGGGGATATTGCTCTACTGCTGCTGTGTAGTCTAAAATCGAGTCATTGATTTGGCAGGTGATCGCTCTTCGGCTTTGGGATGTTTTTTTGCACGATTGCAGTTCCACTGTGGGTGTGGGTTTAGCTATGGGAGGAGGAGGAGGGGGATAACGGTAGAGCCCTGGTGAAACGCACGTGGAACGGCGGTAGAGAGAATGTACAAACTCCACATACACACACTCATAAAGCGGAGATCACCCGTGTCACCTTGAACAGGCAATAAAGCGGGAGGTCTTAAGATGTCCAAATGCCTAATAGAAACCTTACTCATTGGTTCTTTCGGTAAAGTCACGTAGGTAAAAAATAAAATAAAAATAAAATAATCACGACGTTTCGATTGCAACACAAGCAATCATCGCCAGGTGTGAAAAAAAAACAGCAAGAAAATTTGAAAAAAGAGGCAGTTTTTTTCTGAAATGTATTGTTTTTTATTTTTATTATTTAATTGTTTCCCTTCTACGTGACTTTACCGAAAGAACCAAGAATATGAATCCCTGCAGTCACGAAAGCTTTAAATCGAAATGTTTAAATTTTTCATACTTTGATACTGGCAAAACAAGTCACAACCCAATCACCCACGACTCACTCACCCATCACTCACCCATCAATCACCCATCACTCACCCATCACTCACCCATCACTCCCGGTGAGACTGACCAATGGCACCAGGCTAGTAGCTACCCCACTAAACTCAACCGATAGTTTTTTACTGGTAGGAACCTCCTGGTTACATCAGCCCACAGGGGATATTGTGTCTGTCCGTCCGTCGTGCAGGGAGGGGCTGGGTGGGGAGGGAGGGGCTGGGTGGGGAGGTTGGGGAGGGGCTGGGTAGGGAGGGAGGGGCTGGGTGGGGAGGTTGGGGAAGGGCTGGGTGGGGCTAGGTGGGGAGGGGCTGAGTGGGGCTAGGTGGGGAGGGGCTGAGTGGAGAGGGTGGGGAGGGGCTGAGTGGGGAGGGTGGGGAGGGGCTGGGTGGGGGGTGGGAGGGGTGGGGCTGGGTGGGGAGGGGCTGATCACCCCGTGGTGCCCTTATAAAACTCAACGTTTAACCTACTCACGCCAGCTTGTGCCCGCCCTCACAGTCGGGCATATTTGCGGAATACACCACGCCGCCGTTGACCCTGGCCATTGACCGAGCAACCCAACGTTCCTACCAGCTCCCTCCGCAGCAGGAATGTGTTTTTACCAGTTGCAAGTCCCACTGAGTTATGCAGCACTCATTCAGAAGCGGCCTGGCTATCACGAGTGATAGCTCAACACGTGGACATTCATAGCAGCCAAATACTCTGAACGCGTGACGTTGATTCTAAATGTGGAGGGGATAACTGGATGACCCGGAGAAAAATCCACGCGACCACGGGGAGAGAGAGACACCGCAAACTCCAAACATACAACAGGTGAAAGGGTCGGAATATAACCCACGACCTCCTGTGGACCAGGCGAGGTATTTAACATCTCCTAGCCACCGTGATGATGCTGAGAGAGATAGAGAGATACAAACTCCAAATATTACAACAGGCGTCAGGGTCGGAACCGAACCCACGACCTCCTGCGGTCCAGGCGAGCCAGTCAACATCTCACCACAGCAGCACGCACTCATCACGCTCGATCACCATCCTGACGCACACCAAATCAACAACAACAACAACAACCCATACTCTTAGTTCTTTCGGTAAAGTCACGTAGGTAAAGAATGAAATAAAAATTAATAAAAATAAGCAGCAAATCTGGCTGTGACGGTCCCACCTGATGACGGAGACTTGTGTTGCCTCCGAAACGTCGTGATTTTTATTTTATTTTTTAAATCCTTTATAATAAGTTCACTTGCTTGCTTGCGCGATTACGACCGTGCAAATCTTTCGGTCGTTTTTTAACCCACTTCCCGTGATCCAATCGAGCTGACATTTTGCACACAGACTCGTTGTGCGTGACAATTTATTTTCGTGAAAATTTTTTCCAAAATTTTACACTTTTTAGGAATTTTTTTTTACATTTAATTACCAATTGCTTAATGGTGGCAGGCAATCATCTGACCCATAGGTGGCAGCCATCTCAAGCCAGAGGACGAGAGGACTCTAGCTGCCACGCATATAAAGGATTTATAGTGAAAAACTTTGTTTTTACGGGTTAATTTTTATTAAGTTTTATTTCATTTTTTACCTACGCGACTTTTACCGAAAGAACTAAGAGTATCAATCCTTGCAGTCAACGAAAGCTTCAAATCTACCAACAACCCAGCAACGGGTGGCAACCCCAAATGTGCATCTCACCCCCCCCACCCACACCATCCCTTCAGATCTTCATTGAGCTGCTCCCACGTCTGCTGAGGATGATCGCCGAGGAAGGCGCCGCCGGTGGCGAGCCGGAGGCGGAGGCCGAGGCAGGCTGGCCGGGTGGCCCTCCGATGACCGGCGAGGGGAGGCCACGACGTCGAAGTTCCCTGGGCCTCATGGCGAAGGCCGAGGAGTACATGATGAGGAAGCCGCGCAGCGAGCTCATGTTCGAGCGGCAGCGGCAGCGTCATGGGCTCACCGGGGCGCCCAACGGTGAGGGGCCTGGGTTCGAATCTCGAACCAGGTGGTGGTGGTTGTGGTGGCTGGGTTCGATTCCCGAACCAGGTGGTGGTGGTGGTTGTGGTGGCTGGGTTCGAATCTCGAACCAGGTGGTGGTGGTGGTTGTGGTGTCTGGGATCGATTCCAGAACCAGGTGGTGGTTGTGGTGGATGGGTTCGAATCCCGACGAGGTGGTGATGGTGGTTGTGGTGGTTGTGGTGGTTGGGTTCGATTCCCAACCAGGTGGTGGTGGTTGTGGTGGTTGGGTTCGAATCCCGACCAGGTGGTGATGGTGGTTGTGGTGGTTGTGGTGGTTGGGTTCGATTCCCAACCAGGTGGTGGTGGTTGTGGTAGCTGGGTTCGAATTTTGACGAGGTGGTGGTGGTTGTGGTCCCTAGGTTCGATTCCCGACGAGGTGATGGTGGTGGTTGTGGTGCCTGGGTTCGATTCTCGACCAGGTGGTGGTGGTTGTGGTAGTGGATGGGTTCGATATCCGACCAGGTGGTGGTGGTGGTGGTGGTGGTGCCTGGGTTCGATTCCCGACGAGGTGGTGGTGGTTGTTATTCGTTCTCTCTCTGTCTCTCTCTCTTCTCTTCGTCGCCGTGCGAGTTTCCGTTCTCCTCTTTCCTTCTCCCGTGCTCCTCCCACTGGGCAGGAGCCTCCTGACAAAGAGTGCTTGAGACTCGCTGAGGCTCTGTCTGCTCGATGAACATGTGGAGCGTTAACAATAACAACAACCATTGGAACCTCATTTGCCAGTAAAAAATATAATTGTTTTTTTACCCTTCTATCTGGCAACAAAACTGACACCTTTTTTACAAGGAGTCATGTTTGCATAGACCGCAATACCTGCAGTCATAATGCAAACAAAAAACACAACTCTGATAATGTATGCACTGTCCTTGAAGTTGATTGGTCCACACCCGAAACAGCTTTCCTTAGAGCCTAGTCTCACATGGGTTGGACCAGATGACGCCAAAAGGCGCACATTATCAGAGTGTGGTGTGCGTGGGGTGCGTACGGTGTGCGTACGGTGTGCATGTGGTCTACGTGCGGTGCGCGTGCGGTGTTGTGCAGGCGCCGATGGCGTCAACGTGGGCACGACTCCGGAGCTCTTCAAGAACCTGTCGCAGTACGGAGCGGAGATTCGCTCCATCGTCGACTCCTGCAAGTTCATCTTCGAGTGCATCCGCGACCAGAACGACTTAGGCAGTGTGAGTCACCCACCCCACCACCCCCACTTCCCCCTCCCCCCGTCCGAGGCTACCCCTGAACCAAACTAAAAACTAAAACAATTTTTTATTATATTTTTGTTTTTTTTCGGTAAAGTCACGTAGGTAAAAAAAAAAATAATAAAAGTAAAATAAAATAAAAATCACGACGTTTCGGAGGCAACACAAGCTTCCGTCTTCAGGTGGAACCGTCACAGCACGCTTGCTGTGACTTTACCGAAAAAACCCAAGAATATGAATCCTTGCAGTCACGAAAGCTTCAAATCTAGAATGTTTTATTATTTTACCAGGTCAAGCCCATTGAGCTACGAAGCTATTTTTAAAATCCTTTATATTAAGTTCACTTGCTTGCTTGCGCTCTTACGACCGTGCAAATCTTTCGGTCGTTTTTTAACCCACTTCCCGTGATCCAATCAAGCTGACATTTTGCACACAGACTCGTTGTGCGTGGCAGGCAATCATCTGACCCATAGGTGGCAGCCATCTCAAGCCAGAGGACGAGAGGACTCTAGCCGCCACGCATATAAAGGATTTATAGTGAAAAACCTTGTTTTTACGGGTTAAATTTTTCACAAGCGACCTGCAATCACGAGTGATAACCCAACGAAGTGGCTTATCGCGTGGAAATGTAGAGCGGCCGGATACTCTTAAGACGCAGTAACTGTTGCTACGTCGGTATTGCCGCTACGGTGACGCTCCCGATTAACGCACGGAAGCCGAACGGGACGGTGAACCATCATAACACAACGCAGGCCGGGTCAGTTCGTAAGTCGGGCACGTTCGTATCTCGGGGACTGTGTGATATATACTCTTAGGTTTTTTCGGTAAAGTCACGGAGATAGAAAATAAATATAAAGTTAAATTAACATTTTAAATAAAAGCAAAACGCCACGACGTTTCGATCGCAACACGAGCGGCCTTCATCAGGCAGAGAGAAAAGCGGGGGCCAGCCTCCAAATCGTGTTTTTTTGCTTTTATTGTTATTATTATTTTAATTTCATTTAATTTTCTATCTACGTGACTTTACCGAAAGAACCAAGAAAATGAATATCCACACCATCACTCTCCGCTCCATCCACCCCCACGCCACCTCTCGCTTCCCCTCCCACCCATCTCGTGTCGTCGTGCTAACGAGGGCCCCTTCCACTCTCCTTGCAGGAGAATGACGAGTGGATCCTCATGGGCCAGGTCATCGACCGCCTCTGCTTCTGGCTCATGAGCATCCTCATCTTGCTGGGCACGCTCAGCATCTTCCTGATGGGCCATCTGAACGCCGTGCCGTTGCTGCCTTTCCCAGGAGACCCCAAGACATACACCCCGCCCCTATAGGGGAAACGCCACCCCCTGCACACACCCCCACCCCGCCCCTATAGGGGAAACGCCACCCCCTGCACACACCCTCACCCCGCCCCCCACACACGCACACAAAGACAAAGATCCCCCGTGTAGCCTGTAAGAGACTGTTGTGGCAAGTGCTGTGTTGCGAGTGGCACTTATTAAGGGAGGCTTTGTGGTACATGATGTGGTGGGTGGCCATCACACACAACAACAACAACCACCGCCATTCGCCATCTTGACACCGCTGGTACCAGTCATCGGCAAGTCCACTCAGCTCCACGTCCTTCTGTACCACATCACTCCATCTCTTCTCTAGCCCCTGCCGCGCCTATTTAGCCCCCTCACAGACACCCCCACACACCCCCACACACCCCACCACGCACACACAACCCACACACACACCCCACACACACCCCCCCACACACACCCCCCACACACACACCCCCACGCACACCCCCATACACCCCCCCACACGCACACCCCCATACACCCCCCCACACGCACACCCCCACACACCCCCACACACACACCCCACACACACCCCCACACACACACCCCACACACACACCCCCCACACACAACCACAAGCACACCCCCACACACACCCCCACACACACCCCACACACACACCCCCACCCCACACGCACACCCCCCAACATACACCCCCACGCACACCCCCACACGCGTGTGGCTGTCGTCGGGTGGTGGAGGGCTTCGTGAGGGCACCAATTCGGTGTCGGATCACCACGTGGCCTCGCCACCAAAGTCTCCGCTAGTTTAGGCCACGAAACCTTCACGGTTCGTAAACTTGACGTATTATCCGTCACGAGTGCGCGTAACATAATCGGCACCGGTCGATTTTTTTTAAATTAATTCTTAATCGACCTCCACGCGTGCTTTTGCGTCGTGCAACCCTCCACCACCTCGCGCAAGTCGACGGCACAAAACGATTCGTGTGGCCTCGGGAGCTTTCGACAGACGCGATGGCGTGACGCCAAGTAGCGCATTAAATCGTTTGTCCACGCGACTCCACGCGGACTTGTCGTGAAAACCGCATTCGCGTCAAGGGGGGTAGAAAACGAACGTCATCGATCAGCTCTTCATCCCCCCCACAGAAGTTCCAGTAGGGAACGTGTCGGCAAATTATAACAACAACAACACCACTATGAGACATCTCCTTTACCAGTGGCAAAATATAGTAGTAGGTTTTTAGCCCTATCAACTGGTACAAAAACTGACACCTTTGTACAAGGTATCATGTTTTCAATAACCACAACACAAGCAGTCAAAATCCAAACAAAAAAAGAAACAACTCTGATAATGATATTCACTGTCCTTGAAGTTGATTGGTCCACACCCGAGACAACTTTTCTTAGAGCCTAGTCTTGAAAGGGTAAAAACCTATTACAACAACACCAACACCAAACAAACAATTTTGAATACACACCGATGGGCGTGCGACGTCGAGATTTTCTTCAACAAAGTTCATGTGCAGTGCAGTCGGTTCTCATTTAGGCCGTGGTAGTAGCAGTCGTAGGATGAAAAATAGGAAACGATTTTCGCCTTTCTGGCAATACAACAGGACGCGTTGAGACGTTCCAACACCAATTAGAAACCTTTTGCAAAGGAATCAAGTCCGCGGACTTGTGTTGAACATACAAACAAACACGTGGCTCTGATCATTAAAAATGACGCTTTGTCTTTGAAACTGATTTGTCCACACCAGAGTCAGCCACCGCCTTCTTTGTGGCCTCGTTTGGCCAGTGTCAGACCAGAGGACGCCACGAGGCGAACGGCACAAAGACAAAGCACGTGCCATCATAGCATTGAGAGTTCGGGGCGAGCAGCCATATCATGTGGATTCATATTCTTAGGTTTTTTCGGTAAAATCACGTAGGTAAAACATTAAAATTAATAAAATTAAAATAAAATAAAAAATCACGACGTTTCGGAGGCAACACAAGCTTCCGTCTTCAGGTGGAACCGTCACAGCCACGACAGCTGTATCAAGTAAATGAGAGATTGCAAGAGCTACCACTCCGTATATATAATGGTTGGAGAGGGGGGGGAAGGGCCAAGTACGGCACACTTGAAAGCTTCAAATCTAGAATATCATGTGGACCTTGGTTGTGCCAGTACAGCCGTGGCCGGATGCGTTCCTGGAAGTTGCCACGTTCACCGAAATCAACGTGAGCCAGCCCTGGCCCTGGGATCGAACTGGACTCAGCGGGGTTCAAGGCACGGTGCGCTAACCACTACCCTCCCCCCCTCCCCCTTACCCCTCCCCCTTACCCCACCCAAGTGGAGACCCTTCCACCAGCAGTGGCGAAAGTGCAGGGGCTGCACCTTTAACTTCCCACGCGCGTCTTGTTGTCGGAGAAGAGATGAAATGCCCATGAATGAGTCTTTGGGGGCATGGTAACGGAGACTACCCGATGAAGGGGGTGAAAGTTTTCCATTCATTCATTGAACTCCCGCCTTCCCCCCCCCCGCCCCCCCCGGGACCACGCGGGGGGTCTCGTGGAGAGGGGGCGGGGGGAGCGGGGGCTAGGATGAGTCGGGCGGAGATGAATTGGGGGAATTCGATGATTCGCTCTTTCGCTCAAACCTTTCAACAGACGACCCAATCAGTCGAGCAAGTTGCTAGGGGAGTCATCCCCCCCCCCCGCCCCCCTTTAAACCGGGTTTAAACGGAACAAATATATATATATATATAAACAACACCACATAACCACAGCAACGAGCGGCAACAAAAGAAAGAGACACAGACGCAGCGAGAGAGAGACAGAGAAAGAGAGAGCGAGAGAGTGAGCGAGAGAGTGACCGAGAGAGTGAGCGAGAGAGTGACCGAGAGAGTGAGCGAGAGAGTGAGCGAGAGAGTGAACGAGAGAGTGAGCGAGAGAGTGAGCGAGAGAGTGAGCGAGAGAGTGAGCGAGAGAGTGGGCGAGAGAGTGAGCGAGAGAGTGAACGAGAGAGTGAGCGAGAGAGTGAACGAGAGAGTGAGCGAGAGAGTGAGCGAGAGAGTGGGCGAGAGAGTGAGCGAGAGAGTGAGCGAGAGAGTGAGCGAGAGAGTGAGCGAGAGAGTGAACGAGAGAGTGAACGAGAGAGTGAGCGAGAGAGTGAGCGAGAGAGTGAACGAGAGAGTGAGCGAGAGAGTGAGCGAGAGAGTGAGCGAGAGAGTGAGCGAGAGAGTGAACGAGAGAGTGAGCGAGAGAGTGAACGAGAGAGTGAGCGAGAGAGTGAGCGAGAGAGAGAGCGAGAGAGTGAGCGAGAGACTGAGCGAGAGAGTGAGCGAGAGAGTGACCGAGAGAGTGAGCGAGAGAGTGAGCGAGAGAGTGACCAAGAGAGAGAACGAGAGAGTGAGCGAGAGAGTGACCAAGAGAGTGAGCGAGAGAGTGACCGAGAGAGTGACCGAGCGAGAGAGTGAGCGAGTGAGTGACCGAGAGAGTGACCGAGCGAGAGAGTGAGCGAGAGAGTGAGCGAGAGAGTGACCGAGAGAGTGAGCGAGAGAGTGAGCGAGAGAGTGACCGAGAGAGAGAACGAGAGAGTGAGCGAGAGAGTGACCGAGAGAGTGAGCGAGAGAGTGACCGAGAGAGTGACCGAGCGAGAGAGTGAGCGAGTGAGTGACCGAGAGAGTGACCGAGCGAGAGAGTGAGCGAGAGGTGGGGGTTTACATAAAGCAAAGTAAAAAAAAACTAAATAATGAACGAAGCAAAGTGCCGACTACACCGAGCATCTTCTTGTTTCCACTGATCGTAAAAAGAAAAGAGAGGGGAGGGGAAAGAAAGAGAGAGAGAGGAAAGGCCAAAGTTGTCAGCAGCGAAAGATTTAGCGCGCCGTCCGATGCACGCCATCACTATCCAACCCGCTCCCTTCGGCCACCTCGAGCGCGAGAGGCACATCGACAGGCTGCTGCTGCTGCGGCGGCGGCGGTGCGGGAGGACGCGGGGCACGACGCGGTCGGGCAGGGGGGCAGCAGCAGCCCGCAGCCTGAGCACGACTCGCATCGCTGAAGATGACTTCGAGGAGGAAGAGGAGGAGGAGGAAGAGGAGGATGGTGGTGGCGGTGGCGGTGAAGGGGGAAGTGACAATGGACGCGGCAGCGAAGGTGGAGAGTTTGAGAGCAGCTTCGGAGGGGGCGAGCGACGATGCTGGGCTTGTGCGCGTCCCCTCGGTGATCCCCTCGGTGGCCCCCGCTATGGCCCCCACGGTGGCCCCCACGGTGGCCCCCTCGGTGGTCCCCTCGGTGGCCTCCACGGTGGTCCCCTCGGTGGCTCCCTCGGTGGTCCCCTCGGTGGCTCCCTCGGTGGCCCCCGCTATGGCCCCCACTGTGGCCCCCACGGTGGTCCCCACTGTGGTCCCCACTGTGGCCCCCTCGGCGGCTGTCGGGGTGACCCCCCGGTGCACACGAAGCAGCCGGCACCCGGGAGGGGTCCCGCGGCTCCGGGCTCCCTTCTCCGCGGCTCCCCGAACGCGGTGGCCCCGCTGACTCAGCTCCACGAGGAGGCGATGCGGGTCGCCTGTCCCTACCACCATCACCACGCAGCAGCAGCTGCACCAGCAGCTGCACCAGCAGCAGCAGCAGCTGCACCAGCAGCAGCAGCTGCACCAGCAGCAGCATCAGCGGTAGGAAGAGCAGCAGCATCAGCAGCAGCGCCAACAGCACCACCACCACCACCAGCGTGGACAACAGCTGTACCAGTAGCAACAGCAGCAGCAGCATCATCAACAGCAGCAGCAGCAGCACCACCACCACCAGCGTGGACAACAACTGTACCAGCAGCAGCATCACCAACAGCATCAGCGGTAGGAAGAGCAACATCAGCATCAGCAGCAGCATCACCAACAGCATCAGCAGCAGCATCATCAGCAGCACCAGCGTGGACAAGAGCTGTACCAGTAGCAGCAGTGCGCTTAGAGAGGGAGAGACATTTGAAAGAAGCTGTCACTCCACTTCATCCTCCCGCTGCTGCTGCTCTTCCTGCTGCTGCTCTTCCTGCTGTTGATTATTCTGCTGCTGCTGATGATGATGATGCGCTGTCGTCACCACCCCTGCGCCCCCCGCCGTGGCTGTGGTACCCGGAGCGGTGCCAGGAGCGGTGCCCTTGCGGGGCTGCGCTAGCACCGCCACCACTCCCACTCGGGCCCCTCGCGGAGGCCGAGCGGGTGGTGATCGTGCGTGACGGCAGCCCGTGCGGTGAGATCACCATCATCAGCATCATCATCATCAGAATCAGCTGCGGCAGTAGCAGCATCATCATCAACATCTTCATCATCATCATCAGCTGCGGCAGTAGCATCATCATCATCAGCTGCTGCGGCAGTAGCAGCATCTTCATTATCAGCCGCAGCATCATCATCATTATCAGCATCATCATCATCATGTTCAGATGCATCATCATCATCATCATCAGCTGCGGCAGTAGCAGCATCTTCATCATCATTATCACCATCATCTTCAGATAGATCATCATCATTATCATCATCTTCAGATGCATCACCATCAGCTGCAGCAGTAGCAGCATCTTCATCATCATTATCAGCATCATCATCATCTTCAGATACATCATCATCAGCTGCATCATCATCTTCAGCTGCATCATCATCTGCTGGAGCAGCAGCGTCATCAGCAGCATCATCATCAGCTACATCTTCATCAGCTGCATAATCTACAGCTGCATCATTAGCTGCATCATCATCATCATCAGCTGCAACAGCATCATCAGCATCATCATCAGCATTATCATCAGCATCAGAAGTATTCTGATCATTGTTATCACCATCATCACCAGCATCATCGGCTGCATTATCATGAGCTACATCATCATCGTAATCAACTGCAGCATTAGGAGAAGCATTATGATCATCAAAATCAACAGCATCAAGCAGCAGCAGACGTATTGTTATGATGATGATCATCATCAGCAGCAGTAGAGGCATTATGATCATAGTCATCATCAACGACATCATTGTCATCATCAGCAGCATCATCATTAGAGCAGCATGACCATAGGGCAGTAATCATCATCATCAGGAGCAAGTCACCATGAGCAGCTGCATCATCATCAGCGTGGGAATGCCTTCATTCAGCAGTGGATAGACGATGACTGCTGGTGATGATAATCAAAAACTACTGCACAATGGGGAACCAACGTAGAACATATTAATGATGTTAATCGTTAATGTGAGACTGCGTGTCACCTGTGCGAGTGTGTATGGTGTGGTTAGCGCTACGCTGCGCTACGATATTCTTAGGTTTTTTCGGTAAAGTCACGTAGGTAAAACATTAAAAGTAATAAAAGTAAAATAAAATAAAAATCACGACGTTTCGGAGGCAACACAAGCTTCCGTCTTCAGGTGGAACCGCCACAGCCACGACAGCTGTATCAAGTAAATGAAAGATTACAAGAGCTTCCAGCGACGCGAGTTCTGATTCTCTGAACTGATTCCAGGCCTCCCTTTGGTCGACTCAGCCTGAAATGCGTACCTGGTGCGGTGTGTAAACATCGCCGCCGGGAAGACAAAGGCGGTCGGGCGTGGTGTTGGCCACCCACCCCCTCGTGTGCCGTTCCGGCCTTCGTAGGTGCTCGCTATACGGGAGATATTTGTCTTTTGATGCAGACTGCAGCTGTGATCCCAGCTACCACTACCAGGTGAAGGGCAAGAGTGGACAGATCCTCTACACGGCTTCTGAAGGTGAGAATCCCCAAGGCTTCGATCACTCCATTGGCTCCAAATCCAACCGTGGATCAATTTCAAAAGATCAAACTAACCGCGTGCAACACCCTCCACGCACTCTTTCCTGTATGCCTCTCCCCTCTCATCTCACTCCACTCCCCTCCACGCACTCTCCTACCTATCTCCTCTCATCTCACTCTACTCCCCTCCACACTCTCTCCCACCTCTCATCTCACTCTACTCCCCTCCACGCACTCTCCTACCTCTCCCCTCTCATCTCACTCTACTCCCCTCCACGCACTCTCCTACCTCTCTCCTCTCATCTCACTCTACTCCCCTCCATGCACTCTCCTACCTCTCCCCTCTCATCTCACTCTACTCCCCTCCACGCACTCTCCAACCTCTCCCCTCTCATCTCACTTTACTCCCCTCCATGCACTCTCCAACCTCTCCCCTCTCATCTCACTCTACTCCCCTCCATGCACTCTCCTACCTCTCATTTCACTCTACTCCCCTCCATGCACTCTCCTACCTCCCCCGTCTCGTCTCACTCAACTCTCTGCGAGTCGGATGCTTTCTTAACGACAAAGCGGCCACGCATTCTATCCTATTGAGCTGGTGGTCTGAACAAGGCTGAGAGAGAGTGTGTGTGTGTGTATGTGCTGACCACCCACCCACCCCCTCGTGTGCTGTGCCGGTCTTCATAGGACGCTGCTGCTACGTGCTAACAGCATTTGCCCCAACAGTCTGTTACAGTATCAGAATAGGTATTATCCTTTCTGTCCGTCTGTTAAAATGTTTAAACACCAAACTGAAACATTTTGCGCGGAATCATGTCTGCATTAACTACATATACTTGTGGTGAACATGCAGATAACACACATACTCCAATAGTATATGATGATGCATTGTCTTTGAAACTGATTGGTCCACAACCAGAGACAGCCAAGCCCGTCTTTAGAGGCGGTAAATGCAGACACGATGTTTCAGTTTGGTGTTTTAACATCTTTAACACAACTGTTTTATTTGAACATCTTTAACACAACTGTTTTATTGCCAGAAAGGGTAAAAACCCAGTGCCGGATTATCCCGGTAGCAAAAGTAGCTGCAAATGCTACGGTCCCCGCACTTTCAAGGGCCCCGCGCTAAATGCTTTCAAGCGATCAATTCCGATTCACTGATTCTGCACTTGCTCTATTACTATAGTACTATACCGCCTTCAACTTTTATGAACGACTGGGTTTTTAAGGTTAGCGATTTGTCATATTATCTGGCTGTATAGCAAATGAAAAAATACAATTACTTCACTATGCAAGTTAAAAATGTATGTGTTTTAATATTAACGTGTTCATTTATTTATTTAGGGCTCCTTTATAACATCATATGCTACAGGCCCTGCACTAACTTCATCCGGCACTGGTAAAACCTCTCCTTATACTGGTAGGAACCTCCTGGTTACACCAGCCCACAGGGGATTATTGTGTCCGTCCGTCCGTCGTGCAGGGAGGGGCTGGGTGGGGAGGGAGGGGCTGGGTGGGGAGGGGAGGGTGGGGCTGGGCGGGGACGGTGAGGAGGGGCTGGGTGGGGAGGGTAGGGCTGGGTGGTGGGTGGGAGGGGTGGGGCTGGGTGGGGGGTGGGAGGGGTGGGGCTGGGTGGGGAGGGGTTCGTCACCCCGTGGTGCCCTTATAAAACTCAACGTTTAACCTACTCACGCCGGCTTGTGCCCGCCCTCACAGTCGGGCATATTTGCCGAATACACCACGCCGCCGTTGACCCTGGCCATTGACCGAGCAACCCAACGTTCCTGCCAGCTCCCTCCGCAGGAATGTATTTATTTTGATAGACTGGCACGGGAGATCTCACGAAGTATGTTATAGGCGACACGGGGAGAGAGGTTGGGTGTTTGGGTGGGTGGGAGGATGGTTTGGGTGGTTGGGTAGGTGGGTGGGTGGTTGGTTGGTTGGTTAGGTGGGTGGGTGGGTGGTATGGGTGGGTGGTTGGTTGGGTGGGTGGGTGGGTGGTTGGTTGGTTGGGTGGGTGGGTGGGTGGTTGGGTGGGTGGTTGGTTGGTTGGGTGGGTAGGTGGTTGGGTGGGTGGGTGGGTGGTTTGGTGGGTGTGGTTGGTTCGGTGGGTGGTTGGGTGGGTGGGTTGGTGGGTGGTTGGGTGGGTGGGTGGGTGGTTGGGTGGGTGGTTGGGTGGGTGGGTGGGTGGTTGGGTGGGTGGTTGGTTGGTTGGTTGGGTGGGTGGTTGGTTGGGTGGGTGATTGGTTGGGTGGGTGGTTGGGTGGGTGGGTGGTTGGTTGGTTGGTTGGGTGGTTGGGTGGGTGGGTGGGTGGGTGGTTGGTTGGGTGGGTGGTTGGTTGGGTGGGTGGGTGGTTGGTTGGGTGGGTGGTTGGGTGGGTGGGTGGTTGGTTGGGTGGGTGGGTGGGTGGGTGGTTGGTTGGTTGGGTGGTTGGTTGGGTGGGTGGTTGGTTGGTTGAGTGGGTGGGTGGTTGGTTGGTTGGGTGGGTGGGTGGTTGGTTGGTTGGGTGGTTGGTTGGGTGGTTGGTTGGTTGGTTGGGTGGTTGGTTGGATGGGTGGGGTGACACCTCTAGCCTATGTCGTTCCGCCACAGAATTCTCGTGGTGCTGTCTCCACGTGTGCGGGCCGCTGCGCTCCTCTCTGCTCCGCGTCTCGGAGCCCGGCGGGCGCGAGGTGCTGAGGCTGGAGCGGCCCTTCAGGCCCGAGCCGTGCCCCTGCTGCCCCTGCCCCTCCGCGCTGAGACCAGTGATGAGGGTCTGCTCACCCGAGGGGCAGCTGCTGGGCACGGCGACGCAGAGGTGTGTATCACTAGGGAGACAAAGGCGTAGGGCTTTCGCAACCAATATTATTCATAATCAACGTTTTTTTGGGTTTAGATCGCGTTATTTATAAATGTGTCGTGACCCTCCACCATCCGACACGGCCAATCAGTAATTGAAAAAATACAATTACAAAGGCGGCTGGGCGTGGTGGTGGCCACCCACTCCGGCCCACCACACACCTCGTATTAGGTGCTCGCTGACAGCACTTGCCCCAACAGTCTGTTGAGGCTATACAGGGGATTTATGTCTTTGTGTCACTAGGAAGACAAAGGCGGCCGGGCGTGGTGATAGCCACCCACCAACCCGCGTGTGCCGTTCCGGCCTACCATAGGTGCTGCTCGCTATCAGCACTTGCCCCAACATTCTGTTAAAGGCTACCCGGGGGATCTTTGTTTTGTGAGAATGAGTCAGTAGTCTGTGTGGTCTGTGTGCTCTCTCCCACTGTACTGCAATGGGGTTCTGTGGGTTCTGTGGGTTTCCTCCTATAGCTAAAGCAGCACACGCGGTTTGGGTTTTGCACAAACATTGGCGAGCCAGGCCGGTGACCCTTGCACGTGAGACCCTCTCCTGAGTCTCGTCACTTCTCACCTGTTTCAACAAAACTCTCTTGACACTCAATCGACTTGGAAACTACCTCGCACCCCGTGCTCCTGTGTGTCCCTCCTCTGTGACCCCCCCCCACCCCATGTGATGATGATGATTATCGCAACCTGTCTGACCCCCCTGTGTGACCCCCCCGTGTGACCCCCTGCGTGACCCCTCCCCTGTGTGACCCCCCCGTGTGACCCCCTGCGTGACCCCTCCACTGCTTGACCCCCCCCGTGACTCCCTGCGTGACCCCTCCTCTGTGTGACCCCCCTGTGTGACCCCCCTGCGTGACCCCTCCCCTGTGTGACCCCCCCGTGTGACCCCCTGCGTGACCCCTCCCCTGCCTGACCCCCCCCCCGTGACCCCCTGCGTGACCCCTCCTCTGTGTGACCCCCCTGTGTGACCCCCCTGCGTGACCCTTCCCCTGTGTGACCCCCTGCGTGACCCCCCACCTGTGTGACCCCCTGCGTGACCCCCCACCTGTGTGACCCCTCTGTGTGACTCCCCCGTGTGACCTCCTGCGTGACCCCTCCCTCTGTGTGACCCCCCTGTGTGACCCTGTGACCCCCCCGTGTGACCCCCTGTGCGTCAGGAGGAGCATGTGTGCGCCTCTGCTGGACGTTGTGGACTCCGAGGGGCGTCTCGTGCTGAGCGCGCGCGGGCCCTGCTGTCCGTGCCGCTGGGTGGACGAGCAGAGCTTCACGGTGAGAGAGAGAGAGAGACAGACAGACGGTGGGGGACTTTTTTTTAGGCTCAGTCGACCTAAAGGGAGGCCAGCGCCAGTGTACCGTAGCCAGAATTTAGCAGTTCGCTGTGTGTGAGTAACTAAGCGTCAAATACATCTCAATTTCATTGCTTGACTGTCGTGGATGAATTAAATAATGTATCGGATCGCGCATGCCGACGTCAAATATTTGAGATCCTTGCCAATTGCATCCTCCGAGAGGACGTCCACGGACGGAGGAGATGGAGCGAGTAGAGCAGCAGCAGCAGCAGTGGCAGCGGCAGCAGCAGCGGCAGCGGCAGCAGCAGCGGCAGCAGCAGCAGCAGCGGCAGCAGCAGCAGCAGCTGGGTGGATCGTGGCATCGCAAGAGGTGGCGACGGTCTGGGGAGGCCTTCATACAGCAGTAGACAGAGCACGGCTGATGATGAGGATAATGAGAACCCTGGGATGATGACGGGCGAGCGAGCTGCTGATGAGACCAGAGGCGGTCGAGTGAGCTGCTGATGAGTCAGACGCCAGGGCAAAAGAGCTGCTGATGAGCCAGACGCCAGGGTGAGCGAGCTGCTGATGAGTCAGACGCCTGGGTGAGCAAGCTGCTGATGAGCCAGACGCCTGGGTGAGCGAGCAGCTGATGAGCCAGACGCCAGGGTGAGCGAGCAGCTGATGAGCCAGACGCCAGGGTGAGCGAGCAGCTGATGAGCCAGACGCCAGGGTGAGCAAGCTGCTGATGAGTCAGACGCCTGGGTGAGCGAGCTGCTGATGAGTCAGACGCCAGGGCGAGCGAGCTGCTGATGAGTCAGACGCCTGGGTGAGCGAGCTGCTGATGAGTCAGACGCCAGGGCAAAAGAGCTGCTGATGAGCCAGACGCCTGGGTGAGTGAGCTGTTGATGAGTCAGACGCCAGGGCGAGTGAGCTGCTGATGAGCGAGACGCCAGGGTGAGCGAGCTGTTGATGGGTCAGACGCCAGGGTGAGCGAGCTGCTGATGAGCGAGACGCCTGGGCAAAAGAGCTGTTGATGAGTCTGACGCCAGGGCGAGCGAGCTGCTGATGAGTTATATGCCTGGGTGAGCGAGCTGCTGATGAGTCAGACGCCAAGGCGAGCGAGCTGTTGATGAGTCAGACGCCAGGGTGAGCGAGCTGTTGATGAGTCAGACGCCAGGGCGAGCGAGGCAGCTGATGAGTCAGATGCCTGGGTGAGCGAGCTGCTGATGAGCCAGACGCCAGGGCGAGCGAGCTGTTGATGAGTCAGATGCCAGGGCGAGCGAGCTGTTGATGAGTCAGACGCCAGGGCGAGCGAGCTGCTGATGAGTCAGATGCCAGGGTGAGCGAGCTGCTGATGAGTCAGACGCCAGGGTGAGCGAGCTGCTGATGAGCCAGACGCCAGGGTGAGCGAGCTGCTGATGAACCAGACGCCAGGGTGAGCGAGCTGCTGATGAGTCAGACGCCAGGGCGAGCGAGCTGCTGATGAGTCAGACGCCAGGGCGAGCGAGCTGCTGATGAGTCAGATGCCTGGGTGAGCGAGCTGCTGATGAACCAGACGCCAGGGTGAGCGAGCTGCTGATGAGTCAGACGCCAGGGCGAGCGAGCTGCTGATGAGTCAGACGCCAGGGCGAGCGAGCTGCTGATGAGTCAGACGCCTGGGTGAGCGAGCTGCTGATGAGTCAGATGCCTGGGTGAGCGAGCTGCTGATGAGTCAGACGCCAGGGCGAGCGAGCTGCTGATGAGTCAGACGCCAGGGCGAGCGAGGCAGCTGATGAGCGAGCGAGGCAGCTGATGAGCGAGCGAGCAGCTGATGAGCGAGCTGCCTGGGCGTGTGCCTTCTCAAGCAGGTGACGTCGGGAGCACGCCGCGACGCGGGTGTCATCTGGAAGCGCTGGAGCGGAGCGGAGGGTCAGTGGAGCGGGCAGCGCGACGCCTTTGGGGTCGTCTGTGAGTCCAGCGGGTTCTACGCGTGCCAGGGACACCACCATCACCACCACGGTCACCTGCCGTGTTGTTGTTGTATTGTTTCATATTCTTAGGTTTTTTCGGTAAAGTCACGTGGGTAAAAAATAAAATTAATAAAAGTAAAATAAAAAATATAAATCACGACGTTTCGGAGGCAACACAAGCCTCCGTCTTCAGGTGGAACAGTCACAGCACGATAGCTGTATCTAGTGAGAAAAATTCCAAGATCAGGTCTGTCGAGAAAACTCTGTTCTTCACCTGAGGACGGCTGCTTGCGTTGTGGCCGAAACGTCGTGAGAATTATTTTGTTATGTTTTATTTTATTTATTTTATTATTTCCCTTCTACGTGACTTTACCGAAAGAACCAAGAAGATGAATCCCTGCAGTCACGAAAGCTTTAAATCGAAAAAAAAGTAAGTTTTTGTTGTTGTTGTATGGAAGTTATGAAATGTACGCGTTTACAATTTCTGGAAGGTTCCGTTTGGACGGCGTTGGTGGACGACTGCGGTCCACCCAAATCAGAGCCGTCCCGAGGCTAGTTCGGCAAATTGTGGCGGCTGCCCCGGGCCCTGCGCTTGGGGGTGGGGGGGGGCCGCACTTCGATTTCACGTTATCAGATGTGATAATCCCGGTTAAGTTTCAAAGCTTTGGTGGCTCCCACACGGTGAGTGAGTCGCCCCGGCCCCCCCCCCCCCACCCCACCACCCCCATGGACTGTGCTGACCCCCACAAAGGTCAATAAACACCTCCGATTAGCACGGTTGGCTACGTACGGTGCGAAAGAAGTTTGACGTAAATTCCGATTAAAAGCTTTCGTGACTGCAGGGATTCATCTTCTTGGTTCTTTCGGTAAAGTCACGTAGAAGGGAAATAATAAAGTAATAAAAATAAAACAGAATAATAAAAAATGTATAATAATATAATTATTTTATTAAGTGTTATTTTTATTATTTCCCTTCTACGTGACCTTACCGAAAGAACCAAGAAGAAGTTTGACGTTCTCACACACACACATAAACAAAGTGAACTAAATCATTTCTCTTCCTCCTCCTCCTGGTGCCTCCCGGCAGTCGATGCGGGTCTGGACGTGAAGTCGAAAGCCCTCCTGTTAGGAGCCAGCTTCCTCGTGGTGAGTACTCAGTACCTGAACTCAGTACCTGTACTCTGAGTACCTTGTCGCTGTACTCTGCTGCCGCTCTGCCCCACGTGTGCAACCGTGTGGTGTCGATGCCCTGCTGGATGAGGGCCTCGTCAATGTAATCTGTCCCAGCTGACTCCCAATTCAGGCAGTGCAGCACAGCACATTCCAAAGAACACAGGATGAGATGTTACTATCCTTTGTGCAAGCACTTCCAAGAGTTCATGAACAGTGAGCCTGGTGAAATTTGGGGAGCGCATCGTCAGTAGTGTACCTTTGGTTCCTAGGGTGTTTCGGCCTTTCACACTATACACCCTCCCCAAAGGCGGCCAGCGACAGGGTGATCAATCCTACGCTTGCGTCCCATTCCCAATTAGTCATAGGAGTTGCCTTGTTGTTGATAGCCAACATCCCATGGGACTATGCATGGAAGGGGCGTCCTCCTCCCTGAGTCAAGCATTGTTGACTGCATACCTCCTGGCCCTCTCACTTTGGGGCCCAGCTGGGGTCTTTCCTCTTCATCCAGAGCCACTGACTGCTGCCTTCTGCCGCCTCCGATACAGCTCTGATTGCCGAACGCTGGCTCTGGCCCTTAATTCCCAGGTCTCTGAGCAGTCTGGTTGTAGATGTTGCCACACGATCTCGTCTTACATTCGTTCACGTTGCCTTTGCGCTGCGCTTTTGCAGACTGCTACGGCGGTCGCCAACATTTCCAAACCGGGCTCTGTAATTTCTCAGTCGACACGAGGTCTGTCATCGCGACTACCCTGTTAACAACAAGTTCAGACACGACAGCATCGGCGCCAGATCTCGCTCACGAAAAAAAATCGAATTCCGTGGCCACCGTGCGAACACCGCAGATGCCGATTCTCGGACTTGTCCCAGTGAAAGCCAGACTGGTGGCAAGCCGGTGGTGTTGGATGTTGATGATGATGATCGCCACGTGGCGATCACGGGCACACGCGAGGCAGGTTCGTTAGCGGACAGCAGCACGTGACCGGGTAATCGAATCGACTGTGACTCTGTGGTTTCTTCCGTTCCTGCGTGCAGAATCACCTCTACTTCGAGATGAGTTGAGGATGCTGAGCCAGAAGTCGATGGGGGGTGCGGGGGGGGGGGTGCGCCCCCAGCCCCCCCCCCCCCAAGTGCGGGGCCCGGGGCGGTCTCCCCGAATCGCCATACTCGAGGGACCGGCTCCGTCTGGCTCCAAAGCCACCCAACAACGTCCCGGATTGGCCAGAAACAGTGCAACTTTGGTTTACGGAAAGTCTGTCCCAGGTGTGTGTGTGTGTGTGCGTGTGTGTGTCCTTGTCTCCTCCCCCCCACACCCCTGCACCCCACACCCCACACAACATTCACAACACAACGGTGGGCTCATTGTCACGCGTTTGTTTCGCGTGACGAACCTCGCTTGCTGTGTCACGCGTGTGCGGAGGGTTGCACGACACATTTCCATTTACGCGATTCGAACCCCAAAAACACCTTTCCCGTGAATAAGATTGGTCGCGAAAGGCGCTGCGTGTCGCGATTACTGCTCTACTAATACCACTGCCGCGTTAGTAACGTAGCGTTGCGTAGCGTTACGCATAGTCCGTCGTAGTTGTTAAGTACCAATGGAGTTTGAACTCAGACTCGCTCCCGTGTGCGAGGACCCCCAGCCGCCCTCCCTCCCCAAGGGGCTTCACCGCTCTCTCTCTCCACGTTCTCCAGAATGTCGCTAGGACCAGCAGGGCTGGCGGGGGTGGGGGGGTGGGAGTCCTACGGCTCCAGGAGCCGTACGCGAGTGGCTCTTGTGAGTGTCTGGCACTGCTGCTACGTCTCGTATTCACAGCGTGACATTGCTAACTCTTGATATCTTGAGGGTTTTTTTCATGTGTACATATATATACCGAGTTTCGAAAATCAAATGCTCACATCGTCGTTATTTTTCTTGCTGAATTTTGCGCTCGGCTGGATGACTGGCTCGCAGTACGGATAATCCGGCGTAAGGCACTACCACTAGATGGCAAGGTACCCCAATCCATAGTAATAATAATATTAACCCTATATTGTTGTATTCCTTTATCAGTGCTATAATCCTAAGAGGAGAAGGTGAGTGCCGTTTCGTGAAGATGATTAGTCGTGGTTAGGTGGATGTGACGGCTGAGATTAAGGAGGGTAATAGACATGGTGGCCCGGATGTATTGTGCCCCCCCCCCCCCCCCCCCCAGTTCATTCTCTAAAACTTTATATTTTTTACGTAATGTTTTTTGTTTTCATGAATATACAATGTAATATGCAAAGGAAGATATAACTGAATGTGCATGCATATGCAAATGGTCAAACACTGGTTGGGAAAATTAATTGGGGGTCACGTGAATTCTGGACCAGCACGCTGTACATGTCACTCCACTGCTGGATGATGGCCTTCCGTACGCCCGTGTGGTGCCCTGGAGGTTATTTGACAATACTTCACCAACGCTGGTCAGTGCCCGGTTGGTGAAGTGGGCGGGAAAGCATAGACATTGCAGCATACTGCAGTACAACCACGTGTTTGTGTGTGTGTGTTTCTTGCTGCTACTGGTCCTCTGCTGACAATGTGGACATGTGCAATGTCGGCTTGTAAATAATAAACTTCACGCTCCATCGCTCGGACTCTTCGTCTCGCCGAGTGATCGACACGGCACCTCCCATTAAGCGCAAGATTGGCTACGTACGGGAGCGACAGACGTTCATCATGCTGTGCGTGCGGTCACGGAAGTCCAGAAGATTAGAAAGATCAACGGTGGAAGTGGACTGGAGATTCAAAAAACAAAACGGAATATATGTCAAGCATCTTCCTCTTTCGTGTGGCATGCGAACAACCGTTTGTATAGATGATGTCATAGTTCAATGTTGAGGTCCTCAACCAATCCGCGGCGGCAGTAGATGCTGTACGGATTGTAGAGATGATGTCATAGTTCAATGTTGAGGTTCTTCAACATATCCAAGACGGCAGTAGATGCTGTACGGATTGTATTGATGATGTCATAGTTCAATGTTGAGGTCCTTAAATCAATCCAAGGCGGTAGTAGATGATGTATGGATTGTATAGATGATGTCATAGTTCAATGTTGAGGTCCTCAACCAATCCAAGACGGCAGGAGATGCTTAATAGATTGTATCGATGATGTCATAGTTCAATGTTGAGGTCCTTCATCAATCTATGGCGGCAGTAGATGCTGTATGGATTGTATAGATGATGTCATAGTTCAATGTTGAGGTCCTTCATCAATCCAAGGCAGCAGTAGATGCTGTATGGATTGTATAGATGATGTCATAGTTCAATGTTAAGATCCTTCAAGCAATCCATGGCGGCAGTAGATGCTGCATGGATAGCAGCGATATCGCCATTAAAATAAACTATTTTATTGAATCTGGTAAGGCCCACTAAACTCTTCAGAAGCGACCCGGCCACAAATGATAACGCAACGAAGTGGCTGATCACGTGGAGATGTAGATCAGCTGCCAAATACTCGAAACGCGTGACGTTGATTCTAAATGTGGAGGGAAAAACCAGAGGACCTGGAGAAAAATCCACGCGACCACGGGGGAAGAGACACGTAAAGTCCAAATATACAGCAGGTGTCAGGGTCGGGATCGAACCCACGAACCTCCTGCATACCAGGCGAGGGAGTTAACATATCCTAGCCACCGTGATGATGATGATGATGTTCTTGTTCCACGGCCTTATCCTTGACAGCAGGGAGTACAGCTGGTGTACATCTACCGATCGTCTCAGTCAGCCAACCCATGGCACCCGCAGGGTCTGTCACGAGACCTCCTCCTGTCAGCGAGACTTCGACACTTGACGTGGCCTCAAAGTGCACCTGGCCTGGCACGGGCGCTGTGATGACATCACCGTCACTATTGGTATTGTAATAAAGATAACATTTTCTATAGCAGCGTCATTCTTGCAATTGCATCCCAGAACGCTGCACACCAATTATCCAGTTCAGTAAAAAAAATCAAAAGAAAACTCCACAACTTAGCAGCAAAAAAAACTAGTACATAAATAACGAGAAAAAAGTGCACGTAACAAATAAAAAAATAATCGCGGAGAAGAAAATAAATAAAAATGAATAAATCCCTTCCATCTCCATACCGAGTGCGACTCAAGGCGTCGTTGGGTAAACAGCGGAACGACATCGTCACGACCACCGCCACTACCTCGCGTCGTCATCTGCTTCGCTCGCTACCCGCAGCTGATTTCGCCTGGCCCGTCACGACATCTCAGCCACTGCGGGTGACACGGGGGGGGGGGGTGGTGGGGGGTGGTGGGGGGGGGGGGGATGAATGCGGCTCAGGCGCGCGACCACAACCAGCGAATATTTCACAGCGACTCCACGGAAACGTTTTGTTCGCTCTCCGTCGGCTGACAATGATCCTCCTCCTCCCACCTCGTCTCCCACACCCACCCACCCCCCACCAACCAACCTCCTCCTGCTGAGTGCTCTGACTGCTCAATTCCTCCTCGGTGGAGCGTGGAGCAGTCACTGGGACAACAAAAGTCGCCCCGGTGGCCCGCAGGTTGTCGCTGGCTCCCAACAATAGCCCCTTCAATCGCGTTAGGGCCCCGTCACTTTTGACTTTTAATCTCCGGCAAATGTTTCTAGTCGGCTTGTCAGTGTCTGTTTGTGTGTGTTGGGGGAGCGGTGGTGCAGCGGTTAGCGCTACGCTGCGCTACAAACCCGGCGACCCGGGTTCGATTCCCGCTCACGGACAACACCGGTGACGATTATCTGAAACGGTCCGGGGCCTCCCATAGGTCGACTCAGCCTCAAATGAGTACATGGTGCGGTGTGTGAACATCGCCACTGGGGAGACAAAGGCGGTCGGGCGTGGTGCTGGCCACCCACCCCCCTCGTGTGCCGTGCCGACCTTCATAGGTGCCCGCTAACAGCACTTGTCCCAAAAGTCTGTAAGGCTATACGGGGGATCTTTGTCTTAGTTTGTCTGTGTGTCTTCTGCGTGTATTCTACGAACCTGGCGACCCGAGTTCGATTCCCGCTCACGGCCACCAACACCAGTGACGATTATCTGAACCGTTATGGGCCTCCTCTAGGTCGACTCAGCTTCAAATTAGTACCTGGTGCGGTGTGTAAAAATCGCCTCTAGGGAGACAAAGGCGGCCGGGCGTGGTGCTGGCCACCCACCCCCTCGTGTGCCATGCCGGCCTTCATAGGTGCTACTCGCTAACAGCACTTGCCCCAAAAGTATGTTAAGGCTACACGGGGGATCTTTGTCTTTGTGGATAAGGGGCCGTCCATAAATGACGTCACGCACCTGGGGGGGTGGAGTCAGACATTTGTGATCATGTGTGATGAGGGGGGGGGGGGGTTTGATAAATGTGACGTCACGTAAAAATGTGCAACTTTAAATAAATATAGACAACACGTTCTACTTAATTAATAGAGGTTTTAATACGTGTTTTCTCCTACAACATCAGAGTGCAGCGCCACATTAAATACGCACTACAATGACAATAATTTAAAGCGATTTGAAGCATGATTTTTTTTGGGAGGGGGGGGGGGGCAGAGCTTTGTGACGTCATATTTGAGGGGGGGGGTCTGACTTTTTGTGACGCCGTGTCCAAAATCGCGTGACGTCATTTATGGACGGCCCCTAAGTGAGCGGGCGAGTGAGTTGTTGCGAACTGCAGTGTGGCGGCTGAGACTAAATCATCATTGAAGACAAGAGTTCTCTAAACGGAGTGTAGCAGCAGAGAGGAAAGACACGTGGGGACGTATTCTTTGGTTTTTTCGGTAAAGTCACGTATAAAAATAAAATAAGAAATTAAATAATAGCATACGACGTTTCGATTGCAACACAAGCAATCATCATCAGGTATAATGAAATAGCGACATAGAATATAACCAGAAAACTATAGACAGACATATAAGCAGACAGATATCACCAAGATACATAGAGAGAGCAACCCAGGTACAGAGAGAGGTGATCGTCTCTGTGGGGTGGCCTTAAATAGACAGAGGTGGGCGGAGGCCACCCCACAGAGACGATCACCTCTCTCTGTACCTGGGTTGCTCTCTCTATGTATCTTGGTGATATCTGTCTGCTTATATGTCTGTCTATAGTTTTATGGTTATATTCTATGTCGCTATTTCATTATACCTGATGATGATTGCTTGTGTTGCAATCGAAACGTCGTATGCTATTATTTAATTTATTATTTTATTTTTATACGTGACTTTACCGAAAAAACCAAAGAATAATTCCTGCAGTCACGAAAGCTCCAAATTATTACGTGGGGACGTGTTTAACAATCATCCGGCGCGTGCAGCGTGGAACTCGTTCATTTGAATGGGGAGGTGGGTTTGGGGGGGTAAATTGGCAAACGCGGAGGTAGGGTCGCGTAGAAACCCTGCAACGTAATATTCTTAAGTTTTTTTCTAACAGCGTGCTTCAGCCGCACCGAACCTCACAAAAATAATATCCAAGGCCTACCTTGGCTCCTCCCACCCTCAACCAGTATATATACAAGGACTGTTTTCTTGGAATTTCTCTCACTTGATACAGCTATCGTGCTGTGACGGTTCCACCTGAAGACGGAAGCTTGTGTTGCCTCCGAAACGTCGTAATTGTTATTTTATTTGTATTTTACTTTCATTAATTTTAATTTTTTTACCTACGTGACTTTACCGAAAAAATCTAAGAATATGAATCCTTGCCGTCACGAAAGCTTCAAATCCTGCAATGTAACTTGCACTGAGCGCCTCTTCCATAGTAGGCACGCGTAGATCGATACTCCCCTATTGCTGCATGGGGGCATTGTGGAGGCTAAATGGCCATACTTCACCAGGCTGGTCTGAGTTGGTAAAAGCAACGAAACGTCTGACACACGTGACGTCTCCGCTAGGTGGCGATATCATCACGCGTGGCGCCTCCAACATCGCAGAGGGCAACTGCGACTTCCATAGCTGTCAACCCCTTCTCAGTGCCCTACCTTATTACGGACCAATTCAGACTTAATTGGTCACCCAGTGCCCCTTTTAAATCTCAACGTTCATCCTACAAAGTGTCCCATCGCAAGGAGAGAAACACGAAACGGATGTACGCCGTACGGACGTGAAAACTCAATGCGAGTAAATCGTATGGGTTGGCAGCTATGCACTTTACACATTAAAAAAACAAACTTTCAACCCGTTAGTCAATCATTAAAAAAT